CAGCAGCTCTTCCTCCTTGCACAGCTGGAAGGTGTCGCACTGCGGCCGAGGGGGGACACGGTCAGGGTGGCTGGAGGACCCTGTCACCCCCACCACCCATTCCTGGGGCAGACCCAGTGTGATGGAGATGGCACAAAACCAAACTGCTGTGGCTGCCCTGGCTGGTTTGTGCCTTGGGGAGGTCCCCAAGGGAGCAGCAGCACCGTGCATGGGCACAGCCCCTATGGGTGCCCTGGGTGAGCAGCGTGGCTGGAGGCACAAGGGGACAATAAGGCTGGGAAGGGGACAGTCACCACTGCCACCCCACTGCGGTGCCCAGGACTCACTATCACACGCTGCAGCACGGCCACGTCCCCCTTGATCTTGCGGGTGAATTCCAGGTTGTTGTTGAGGAAGATGTGGAATCTCTGGTCCCCCGAGAGCTCAGCCAGCGGCGCCCCGAGCAGCTCCTGCCATGGTGCCCACAGCAGCAGCACCAGCACTCCTGCAGGGACAGCAGCTCAGCACCCACCCACCGTGGCACAGCCCCAGCCCTGCCACCAGGGATGGTGGCACCAACACAGCCTCGGGAAGCAACAGGGACCCTCTGGAAGGTGGGGAGATGGACCAGGCGCTGCCTGTGTCCCACCTGCCCCATGGGCTGCAGGCTTTAGGTGTGCGGGTGCAGCGGGTGCTACAGGGAGAATGGATTTAATGGAGCGGTGGGAAAAGTGGGAGCTGTGGAAGAAGTGAGTGCGGTTGGAGCAGTGGGAGCGATGGGTGAGTTGGGAATGATGGGTGCAGCGGGAGCAGTGGGTGCAATGGAAGCAGTTTTAGCAGTGGGAGCAGTTTTAGCAGTGGGAGCAGTGGGAGCACTGGGAGCACTGGGAGCACTGGGAGCAGTGGCAGCACTGGGAGCAGTGGGAGCACTGGGAGCAGTGGGAGCACTGGGAGCACAGGGAACACTGGGAGCACAGGGAGCAGCGGGAGCACCGGCAGCACAGGGAGCAGTGGGAGCAGTGGGAGCACTGGGAGCA